TTCAATTCCAAATGTTGATTCCCTACCAGCAAGGTTCAATCTTCCGAACGTGGCGCCCCAGGTACTTTCGGGAAGCTCATTAAGAAAACACGGCCTCTCTTGTAGCATAACAAACACCCAACAAGGCGGTGTCTCCAATATCCAAACAACATATTAAAAGCTCCTCACTATGGAATCGCCCCGTTCCGTTGCACACAAACAGGCGTAAGCTGGTCCAACTTAAGGGTCAGCACGTTCTTGATCTTGGTAATCTGAATCTAAATGGGCTCGACCCTTTGGTGAACGTCGCAAATTCACACACATTTGTCCGCCAGCCATTTTAATGTTTTTTCCACCAACTGATAGAGGTTAATTTGACAGCTACCCAAATTATGTCATTCCCTCCGCATGTGCCCCTGCCTTCTTTTCTAAATGGCTAAGCAAATCCCTATCAGAAAGGCCAAGCTGCAAGCCGTACAGCACAAGACAAGAAAAGCAAGCGGAAACGCGATGGACCGATAATGTGAAGGCTGCATGCCGATTCTTTTGGTTGCCGGCGCATGGGACCCATATCAATATGACCAATTCTGCCGTAACAACTCAAAGTAACGAGCATTATCTTGCTTTCCTAAGGACCGAAAGCTCCAGACCTTTGCTGGATTACCATTGCGGAGTCCGACCAACCCCTGACATTTGTCCCTAGGAAGATCCTTTCAGTGGTGCTATGCTCGGTGTGCACCATTGGCTTGCCCCAAGCCAATGGTTGTGGGTGGAGTAACTGGCCCATAACATGCAATCCTCGGTTGCTTTCTGCTCCCCTGCTAAAAGTTTAACGTTTAGTAGTTTAAGTTGGCAAAAAGGTAGAGTCCTAACATCCAAGCAAAATTCACCAAAGAATCCCAAGGACGTGTCTGGGCTCTGGCGACTGTGAGGTGACACGGCACCTTGGCCGTCCTCCTCGAAGCCGAGAGGGACCTGAGCGCACTGAAGCCTTGTGAAGCCTCCCGCTCTCAGCTGGCGAATTTGCCCCTTGGCCCAGAAACCACCATGCAGTTTTTTCAATTCGCCTGCCAATCAAGAACACTGTTGGGCTCATGTGTACGAGCAAGCATCCCAGGTGACAAATCGACCAAAGGCCCACAAACATACCCTCGGCTCTCTAAGCCAGCGGCTGGATCTGGATTGGTGCAGAAGCAGTAGGGCTCTGTCCATTTCCTGAAGCTAACCGGCGATCGAACCATGCAGATCACAGCAATCACAACCGCCAGATTGCGAATCAAATAACCAGGCAGCTCCAAAGCTGTTGGCTTCACACCACAAGAAAGGCACTCACACACACACACAAATATCACATCTCTTTGACCGCAGACAGTCACATTTCGTTGCCTGCACGTTTCTTGGCATCATTAGGCAAAGCCATCTTGGGACCAGCGGTGGACATGTTGGAGTTGGTTTGTTTGCGACGCAAGGGCAAAGCCCTCTCCCAACACAAGGCCACGCCATCAATGGGAGGCCGTCCAGCCGGCCATGCTGCGAGCTCGGGCGTATTTGGAAGCTGCAAGTAACCCTGGCAAGATAGATGATGTCTTCGTGTACCCGATTCATGTCGAAGGGAATACCCGCTGCTGGGGATCAAACTTGGTCCATGCGGAGCCAGCGAGAGCGCCTCTTTCCGGCGAAGTTGCGATCTCTCCCACTCGGTCCGTTCCTCAAGCTTCTGTGTTCCACTAACAAACATACAGACACGCAAACAAACAAACACTGACACGCAGACGCACAAAAACAGAGACACACAGAGACGGAGACGCAGAAACGAGCAAACACACACGCATTCCAATTGTATTTCGATCACGTCATACTATGCAAACATGCTGAGCGAAACACCATAGTCCAATTGACACTTGGAACTTATCTTTAACATGTATGTACTATCAGTTTATCCACAATGTAGTGAAGTGTATGTTCATTGAACTTTGTCTATGTATGGGAGTGTCTTTTTGTTGAGGGTTGTCTTCTCAAGTTGTATCAAGAGAAACTAACGCCCATGTCAAGGGTTCGTCCGCATGAAGACCCAATGCATATTTGATGTGGGGGCCCTTTGGTGAAACATCATTTACAAATGTCCAGCTGTACAACTGGTGGGCTGTTTGGCTTCCGTATTGATCATGTAAACTCATATTGTGTGATAAAATAAGGGTATCCGCGAATTTGTCAATGCTTTGTTTTGGCCTCCCTTTAAACTAATCAGAATCCATCTAAAACTAATTGGTGGCTTGGATTGGTGGTTTGGAGGTTTGGGCTGGGTGTTTCCCATTGGCCTAATTACCACAAGAAGCAAGGGTGTAAATCCCCAACCCCCCCATCCAAATCAGCAACTAACAGCTACCTGAATCAAGCCCCACGACTTGCCCAAGAGTTTACCCTCACCCACGCACGCTTCAACTTCCTGCCAGGCCACATCTGGTACGTGGGGTCCGTATTCCCCGCGGGGCAAATCAGCTTGGGGCTGCCGCCGGCGAAGGGCGTACGGCACCTGACTCGAGACATGTGCCGGCTGCGTTCTGCTCAAAAACAATTCCTGGCATCGCTGCCCACATCTGGGCTACTCCAAAAAGAAAGGAGAGAGAGAGAGAGAGGGAGAGACAGAGAGAGTCTGTTTCATATTGAGTCTGCCCCATAATAGAACATGGTTTTGGAGGAGACCCCAGGTATAGCCCACAGACCAAACGACTTGTTTCCCCAAAAACAACTGCAAAACTGGGTCAAATGCCAATGACATTTAGTTGATCCCATGGTCCAAAACTCCTGATGCGGCATAGTTCCCTCACACTGGGCCAAGCTTCCCGACGGTCCATGGCCCCAAACGAAGGAGCCATGATGAACCATGGCACATCCCCCAACCATCCCTCCACTGAGAGACTCCTCCTGAAACTTCACTCAGGTGTTTGGACGGCCCAAATTTCGGGCCCGGCGAAAGTGGATGCCATCTCCAAGGCGTGCTTCGCAAAGCGGACCCCTAAACTGGCTGGCTTCTTCTTGGTTCCCCTTTAAAACCATCCACAAAAGGGGTCCGCCTTCTTTGACAATCCTTCAAATTGATCTTTCCAAACAGCAGGACTAGTGGGTGGGGGAAGGCTCCAAGCTTGGCCCTGATTTCAGTTGCTCGGGGGGGGGAATCCGACGTACATCCGCAGGAACGCAGTTTGGAAATTTAAAGTCAAAAAGTTGGACCGAAAGGTCAGACAAATGGATTGCTGACATCACAGTTGTATAGAAAGGACGGCAGAGATCAAAAGAAACACATTTTCACCGATTGGGCCACAAATAATGATAAGAACTATCCGTGTGTTGCGTTGCAATCGCAAATGCGAACAAAGGGGGATCAAATTCGGAAGCCAAGTGGGAAGGGGTACCAACTGAACCAAATGGGATCAATGTCAAACCAGTGGTGAAAAAAGCGGTTGCCCCCCTTTTAAGTTTCTCCTTTGGGGATGAATTGCGCTTTGGCGACCCTTTGGTGGACATCATTTGCAACCACGTTTGAGGGGTGTTCCTTGAAATTCACAACCATGGAAAGCCAGCTGGAAACGGAAAACGGTTTGGCGCGAACCAGACCCATGCTGGCGGGTGGTCCTAGGGCATTCCCCTAAAACAAGGGCAACCTGACTGTTGTGTCCGAAAACTGGGCCCTGCGCCGGAGCCGGCAAAATCCCCCAGGCGCCACGTCTCCGCAGCCACTGAGGTCCTTAGACAAAGACCTACTTCAAGCCCGACGAAATCCCAGCTCCATCCAAATCTCAAGAAAAGAATGGCCTCGAGAACACAACCCCATTGTTCATGCTTCCAATCCCCTTGTGACTAGAGCCAAAGGAATCCCACAAAGAGGCCCTCCAAAAGAGGACTGCAGTACAAATGAGTGCTGCTGCGAGTTCACGCCACACAGTTTGGTTGGGCAGGACTCCCCGTCAATATGGAATGGAATCACGCTGGACATGTGAGTCGCGATCCCCTTTTGGGCATGGAGATATGCCGAAAGAGTGCTGCAAATCCCTCAAATTTGCATCTGAGAAGAATCCTGATTCATCAACCAGCGGCAACTGTAGCTAAGGGGATGAAATACTGGTCGCACAATGCGTCCCTAGCTTTCGGCATACAACGAGAAACAGCAAGGACTTGAATCAAGAACATTTGCCAGGACGGCTCACCGGCGTGTCGGCAGTAACGTCCTGGTCACTTCGTGCCATGAACCAGGGTTCCCGACATTTCCCGCTTCCTACGTGTGGGGGTCAAAACCACAAGGGGAAATGCTCAAAGCATTCTTTTACTTTGGTTTGGTAGTCAGCAGAGGCGGCCATGACCATGGCCCGCAGTAGGAGCTTTCACATGGGTTCGTCTCATGGGGAAGCTTCAAAATATATGTCCTGTTGCCCATTGGCTTCCGTTTAACAAGACTCCAACAAGGGCGCCCTCCAATCAGGGAAGCTGACAGGCAGCCAAGTGTGAAGACTGCTTTCCTGCCAGATTCCCCTGTCCATTCCAGGATTGTTGGAAGGAGAGTCCTCAACTGCACGCCAAATGAAGGGATCAGGCTGGGTGAAGGTTTGGCCGCTTGGCCTTGAAGGGGCCTTGGGGAAAATCAATGGCCTTGAACATCGACCCTGTCAAAGAAAAGTGTTCAAACACGAGGATCCTTTTTCAGCCCAAAGGCAAAACTGAGCCACCCTGGCGAGTCTAGGCCCCGGCAAGCCCGCTTTCCCCCTGGCCCTTCCCCAGGCGCGCGGCATACTTGCAGGGATCCGGATTCTCCGGGGGCAAACAGCTATGCAGCTTCCTGCACCCCGCCAGCTGCAGCGAGCTGCGGCACGCCTGGCGGGAGAACACATGAAGACCCCAAAAAAGCGCAGCTTGGACGTGGCAAAGATCGCGTAATGAGAAACAACACGCATGCTGACAAATGTGCTGTTCTGCATGCAGATAATAAGTGCATCTACCATTCAACAGGAGTTCTCAGCAATTGCGTTTGCATCTGTTGCCGCCGCGCCGTTCAAGATACATGAACCACTCCACCATACACACACAAACACAAATGTCACAGCCCATCATGACGCGTGTTTTTTCCAAGGATGGATGTGTCTGTTTTTGAGGGAACCCTTTTTTGGTTGTTGCAAGGGGAAACCAAAAGGAACGCCACTATGCTTTCATTTTTTGTTTGTGTCTCTCGTTTTTTGGGGAGGCGGAGGGTGTTCGGGAAGCCATCATTGGCGTTATCCTTGATTGCACGCGAGAGGGCTGTTTAGCTCCTTGTCTCATGCCGAGGCAGTCTGCAAAAACACTAGAAATGCGATCCTGTGAACGATGTCAATATACAAAGTGTAGTAGAGAAGCCTGCCGATCAAACAACTTACAAGGCGGGAAATTCTGTTCACTTGCCACTCGCTGGCACACTGCAGTTGAAAACACAGCCCATCCTGCTGGCCGTCGTGCTTCCGCCTAGCAATTTGGCAACGAAAACATTCACCAACCCAAAGGGGCTACCTACGCAATCAATCTTCAGCAGGCTACCTACGTCTCGAACCACTGAGTTTCACTGGGTTTGATGGGTTCCGGCATGCCGGCCTCATCAGCCACGCAGGTGGCGGTCGCTGCTCCTCTCGGTGTATGCCAAGACGGGGAGCAACGAGAAGACGAGACAAGTAAGAGTAGTTAGCAACCATGCGGCTCGACAACATGTCTAAGTTTAAATCCACTTCCATTTCTAGTTCCAAGTGGAAAACATAAACAAAAATGGGTTGTAGGCTTCAGTTTGTTTGCCCCCCGTTTTTAAGCCGCTTCTGTCTGCTGGTGCTGAAAATAAAGCTCCAAAGCTGTCGCAACAATCTCCTGCATAGCCCTCAGTGCAGCGCCACTGGCCCGCGACAAGCTCGTAGCCCTCCGGGGGTGAGGTGATCTCACCTCAAGCCGAGTGTGTTCGATGGGGGCACCTCCAGTTCACCTCAGCTTTTGCAAAACTACAACAGATCCTTGTTGTTGGTTTAATTTGTATGTCATACTTTATATCAACTATGTGAACAAAGATACCAGTTGGGGATAATCGTGATACATCTTCATAGCGAGAGCAAACCAAGAGGAAAACAACACCCACGCGGTGTGTCAACACAAGAATTCTGAATCGATCCCTCCTGGTAGCAACAATTTCGACCGTTCCAATCCCAAAAATGAGACCCTAGCTTTGACGTGTTGGAGATCTCCCACTTGGCTGAAAAAAAAAGACTTGGCCCTAAGTGCCTTTGCCTTAAAATGTTGGAACCCCTACCTTGTGTGGCCGCCGTTGCGCTCCAATTTTAAGCAGCCTCCAACACAAGCCAAAATGCCAGAGTCTTCTGCTAAGTGGGCTGTGTTGGGAAAGTTTGCCGTGGAAGTGGTTGCGCGGCTTTTCAAATGCCAATTGTGCTGGTATGATACCTGGAGGCGCACACCTAGTTGTCTTTGGCCAAAAGGCTGCCTCAGGGCTTATCAGCAGCACATCTCGCCAGAAGAACTTGGACATGCAAATAGTGTATCCCATGTTTGGTGCCCTCCCAACAAAAAAACAGTTTCGAAGCTGAAGCCAGCATTTTGCTGAGCTTCCTCACCCTCGGAAACAGCAAGCTGTCCTACTGACCTTCTTTGCCCTAGCGGCATTGTGGCGCACAGTTGGGCATCTCAATGGTTGCCGCGCGCTCGGCCACGTTGCCCGCCGGACATGATGCTTGGCCGCTGCTGCCCGCAAAGGGCAGGGCACAAGCGATGGCACCTCAGCTTGCAAGTGTTCAAGCGCAAGGGTCAGGTTGTCAACATCATGAACTATTCAGAACCCGGCCGAAGGGTCTTCTGGACAAGCTAAGGCATAAACGAAGAGGACAACCAATTCTGCCAGTCCAACGCTGATGGTACACAACCACCATGGAGCTGCTCTCCCAGCATCGTGCTTAGGAGGCCAGCCGAGGTGGAGCCATCTGAGATTGTCGTCCTTAAGCCCACTAAAGTCTGCTTGCCTTGTGTCACATATTATACATCAACGACAAGTGACACAAGATATGGGCACCAGAGTAAGTGGCCATCTCTCCAACCAGACAAACAAGCTGTATTCTGACAAGGCACTTCAAGTTTCACATGTGTTTTGCACTTTGAGCAATGCATGCCATGACGCGGACAATGTTGCTGAGACTTTCTATGATGCTTACTTGTACATGACAAGACCCCTTATTTGTGGCGCTCGTGCTGATGCTGATGGAAATAATCAATACTTAGACGGCGCGATATCCGAGTGACTATTCCCCCCCCATCGTCATAGTTTGTGGTGCTAGTGCCCCGAAACCCCACTCTACAATTACATAGTTGGGTCTTTACGCTTCCAGCTTGTGCCATCTTGTGTCTCACCTCAAGAACCTCTTGACGTCCCGGACGAAGAATCCCGCCCCGGTGCTCGGCCAGTTTTGCAGGCGCTTTTTTTTCTGCGAGGCCAACATGGGCAAATCCCTCAGGGAGGCCCAAACGTTGTTTGTGCCAAAGCCCTTGACTGCTGAGTACATGTTTTGAGTCTTAAAGCTCTGTCTGCGTGATTGGCTCTTGTTGGATCCTGTGTCCTTTGCTGAAACACAAGTTTGACACACAACCGCTTTAGTCAGCATGAACTTGCAGGTTGCTTTATCCATGTTGCCATACTTGAGCAGCTGAGCAAACTCAGGAGGGAAGTATGCCGCAAGCTTCAACCATAAGTAACCACCACACATTAGCGTAGCCTTTTGACAAAGCCTTGAATGCATCTTGAGACTAGGCGAGCTCAAGTCAGTGCATCTCGGAACCCTCTCACCTGGCCGTGGCGTTGCCCACTCACATGAGATCTGCATGCTCGTCCTGGCAGCAAGGCACGGAGCCCCCAAAAAGACCAGCGAGCCTCAAGGACCCGTGCAATGCGGCTGAAAGGGACAACAACAGATCCGGAGGCTTATTGCCTAAAGACCGAGCACGCAAATGCGCTCAAAAAAAACTGGAGTGGGGAAGGATTCCAGCAAGTCAAGACGCCAGCCTTTCAGAGTTTATGGAAAAAGGAGCACCAGTGCTGCTCGAGGACTATGACAAGAAGATATCATTGTCTATCTGACATTGAAACGTGGCTCCTTTTGTAAGGGCAGCTAACACATGGATAAACAAACTCACACACTGCTGCAATGACGAAAAGACTTCCAGGGCTCCAATTCCTTGGTTCACGCATCTCTTGGCAATGAGTCCACTTCGAGCGCCGTCAGTCCAAATGATACCTGGGCCCCGCACTCTTGACGCAGAGATACAGAAAGAGACACAAGGAGAAAGAAAGAGAGAAAGAAAGAGAGATGGCGAGAGAGAGAGAGCTAGAGAAAAAGAGAGAGAGAGAGAGAGAGAGCAAGAGGGCGATAGATAGACAGACAAATAGATAGATAGATAAATAGATAGAAAGATAACTAGATAAATAACTAGATATAAATAGATACAGGGATGTTTACTTCAGCTAAAACAACAACGGCTACCATGGAAACTGAAACTCCCACCCACCCACCCTTGCCCAAAAGATCCGGTGGACTGTTTCACTGTTTCGCTCCTCCTCTCGATCTTCCACGTTGTCCGGCGGTATGGCTGCCGCCAGCTCCGCTTGGATCCGCTTCCTCTTCTCCTGCACCGTCTGCAGCGAGTTGTCCCTGTACAGCAGCATGCCCACCTTAAAGCATGCAGCGACTTTCAGTGGCAGACCCTGCTGGCTGAGCTTGGCCCCGCAAAACGGCCCCTTTCCCCCGTTGGGCACAAGGAGTTCCTTCTAAGCTCGGAGAAGGCACTTGCACGCCGAAACCTGGAACCAACCCCCTTAAAGACCTTGCGCAGATCAGGAAACAAACAGCTCAGGATCATGGTGGCAAACCAATCAAAGGTGTCATAAAGACTTCCCCTATCTCAACTCCCAGTTTGCATGGACAAGCTGGTCCGCAAGACCGGCCTTGAAACCTACGGCCATGGTTTGAGTCCGGCCGGCTTTACATGAAACTCGTGGCACGGCGGTCAGGACAAAAGTCCCTAGAAACGATGCAGCTGCAGTGCTCATGCTGCGACTACATTCAATTGGCCTGACCACAGAGAAAAACGCACACACACACACACACACACTCTTCCGAATTCAAGACGACAATCCTGACAGCTGCATGTGGTTGATTGCTTCAGTGGAGGTAGTCCCTTGCACCCCTATCTCACCAAGTTTGATCTGGATGCAGCAACTATGCTGTGCTCACAAAGAACTGACAAAAATCAGTACAATTAGAACAACTGACAACTGTTCAGGAGGAACAAAGAAAACAAGGACTCGCGATTTTCTTCCAAGCCGCCGCCCCCCCCTCCCCCCCGGAGGCTCCAAAGTTCAATCTCGACTCTAGTCCTCCACCGGGCCGCGAAGAGGGCCGCTAAGAGGCTGACCCCGCCAAAGATCATGCAAGCCTCGCGGCTCATTCATAGTTTGATTCTGGTGTCTCCTTTGTGAGTACCCTTTTCGGGTTGGAGGGGGAAATCAAGAGGACCCGGGACTCCCTCTTTGGGTGGTCCCCCTCACTTTGAGACACACAAGCGACAAAGCCACCTGTAAATAAGCACCGTCCAGGTGGGATGGCTTGGCCTTCGTACAATTGCACAAGGGCCTGTACAATTGGAATGGCGTTGCGGGGTACCCTGAACCCACATTTCTAGCCATGAGTCTAGGAGTATACAAAACAATTGTATGGCCCTTTTGTCTTGACCAGACTTAGACCCCATGCCAAATGTGGCTGATTAAATCAAAGAATGAGTTTCAAAAGCTAAGCTAAATCTGGCAATGATATTACCCTTTGGGATTGAAAGTCTCAAGGCATCACACAAACAATGCAATGCGGGCTTCATGTGATTGAACAATTAGACTGGATCCAAAAATCGCGAACCAAAGCCCTTTGAGCTCAGGAGTGCCCCCTAAAACCAGATGCGTCACTTCTACGTTGGGTGCTTTTTCTCTCTCTTGCGCTGGCGCTTTAGTGTTTTCAATGAGCTTTGTGGGGTTCCTGCGACGAGAAACCGAGCAAACCGTGAATGGAAGCCAAGGGAACATCACCCATGTTCGGTGTTCCCACGTGAATTTGCCATCCTTCTTTTGCTCGGGGACACGGGGCACACTTTCCTGAGAGAAAACTTCAAAGCGCCGATGGTCAAACATAGGTGTCGTTTTCGGGGAAATAGATGGGCTTCCATGGTAGATGATTAAACCACCAGGTAAACCAGGAATCGCCATCCATTACCAAACAAAAAGGACACCTAGGTCAAAGCTCCTTCCACCGAGGTGCCAGGAACCCAGCGTCGAGGCCACGGAAGGTGGCTTGCAGCTCGCCCAGCAGCTGGCGCTCGCTCAGGGTGGCATTCTTGGTGTCCATGCGCCAATACCTCGGACTGAGTCTGGATAAACCAGGGACAACCGTTTTAGCTGTTGGTCTTCAAGTGGTCCTTGAGGGGGTCAAAAAAGAACAATACATATATATATATATATATGTTATATATATATATAACACTTAGAGGTACATCATGGTTCCCTATTTTTAAGCTTGACTGCAACTATTCTTGCTTACTCGTCGATCTCGGAAGAAACCACTAAACATCCTTGGGTTGTTGACCATTTGCTGACAGAAGGATCGCTTGAAAGAATGTACAGAATATTTGTGGTCACTGGTTGTGTGGACATCATACATACCAGCATAAACTGCTAGTGGCAAGGGAACCACTCTAGCCTATCACATCCCGAGGAATGAACAAATAAAGAGTGCTTCCAGCAAACAGCTATGACACTTGCAAAGCAAACCACACTACAAAAGAGAAAGTGGACAGACTCGAGACTGTCTGGAACAAAATGCCAACCATGGAACAAACTGCCAAGCTTGGACCAGTTTTGGCGGCTTCCATGCAAACAATGCCAACAAAAAGCCAATACCCTCAGAATACCCTCAGCGCTTCTTAGTCATAGCAGTCACTTGGCAGCTACAAATGCCTCTGGGTTGTGTCATTGCTCTGCAGCGGGCTGGCTGGCGGGCAGCTAATGGCGGGTTTGACCCAAATGACTAAAACCCGCGGTCCTCTGGTGGTTTAATTTTGACCCACACCCACATGCAGACTCCAACAAAATCAAAGAGCTGTCAAGCGAGCGACAATGGGATCGCCACACTCTTGTGCTTGGTGAAGAAGTAGTTCCGGGTGTCCTGCCGCATTGACAAATCGCTCACATTCAAATTGCAGCGACATTGCCGAATTTGCACCATCACAATATCCAAAAACTGAACATCTAATGGCAGCGATGTTGTCACATGCAACATTCAAGTCGGAAAGTGGGCATTCAAGGAATGGCAAAGCAACACATCCTGCAATGGACTGTTGAAACAAGGCAGGACAAACCCATGTCACGCCAAGGTGGGGTTAGGTTGCAAACAAACAGATTGGGCGATCAGCTATCCCAAAGGCCACAAAAATGAGCTTCATCATCAACCTCTACCTTGTTTGCTAGTGTGTTCAATACTGCAAAACAAGGGACAGGGTTTGGTTGCAAAGCGCGCAACGGCCAAAGGAACATCTCTCGCCCCCGAGCAGTCAGTGCTTCTATCCAAACTGTATCTTTTATTTCTAGCCCCGTGGTTTTACCCACTTGTTCACAGAAACTCGTCCGGTGACCTCAATCTACTAAAACCGCGGTTAGCGAGAATCTCGGCAACATTGACAACGTGTATAACTTGATGCAACTGCAGCCTGTTGCCGTTTCTTCACCTCATGTCACCTCCGTGGCCGCTTCAACTTGTGTGCGTAAGCAGAGAGATGAGGCGTGTGATATAACGTTAACACTATGCACGATTTGGTTCTTGAAGACAAGCACCCCGCCAGGAGCCGCTCGTTCCACTGGTCTGCTCAGCAACACGATGGCATCGAAGCAGTGCATCATTGAAGTATAAACAAACATACACATTGACCTGGGAGATTTCGCTTGAAACGAGCACACGATCTAAAAGATGTCGGGGCAGGTAGAGACCCCATGGTTGCTATCCCGTTGGCTTGCTTCCGCGTTTTGAGCTACGATTTCAAAGCCGCTGAGGGGCAGGAAAAAAGGCCAAGGGTCAAAGAGGGTCTCTGCAGGAAGCCCACAGCTATACACATTGAAACGGAATGCAGGTGTCAGTTGACCAGACTGTAAGAACCATGTTGGTGGATGTCGACGTGTCAACCAGGACTCTGTCTCCGAGTGGAAGGCAGCCGCAACCGTGGGAGTTTTGAATTCAGACACTCCACTTAACCCAGTGACCCTTGTAAACAGGCCCCCCCTTTTTGGGGGTGGCCGCCTAAAAGAGGCGAACCCAACCAAACCGGGTCTTCCGACTCGGCCGGTCGGGGCCAGTGGGGCCCAGCGGGTTTCCTGGTAGAGGCGTATGGAGATCTGCTCCTTCACCATGCTCTGCAAGACCCGGCCGGACTCCCGCTCAATGACCACCATGTTGCGGTACCTGGGGCCTGTGGGCGTCACGAAGCCGATGAGGTTGTTCCTGCGGAAGCAAACAACACTGGAGCATGGCTCAACCGACCCGTGCAAAAGACATGACGCTGTGCTGTGGAGGGGGAAAAACCATCAGTTGTCGAAAAGATAAAGTCCAAGAAATCCCCAATGGCAACCAAGATCAGTCCTTATCTAAACATTACAACTATGTGGTGAACCGCTGGACCTCTCCAGGGCTATGTGCGAAAATATGCGGTCCCGTCCCAGATGCACCCAAAATCATCCCACATCCTTTCAAATGCCTGCAAGCAAGCAGAGATTTATCCCCACCCCCCGGCGCAAAGGGGCGTGTGAAACTCTTGGCAGCAAAACATGATGTAGCAGCACCCAAATGCAAGGATTCGACATCCCAGCAAGTGGAAAGAAGCAAATTTGTCGATCAAGAGTATGGTCAAGTCGGCCCCGTGCACAAGCATTTGTTTGTCCCTCAGTGCCCTCTGAGGAGGTACCAAGGGTCCCCTTAAAAGTTGCACCCTTTGGGACATGGCTATTGGGGTCCCAGTCCTACCCCGAATCTGCGCTACTAGAGGCCGGTCTACCATTCCCAAGTTGCTGTTCTCGGGTATCGTCTGTGTTTTGGACAAACAGGTTCGTCTCCAGGCTCCCTGTTTTGGCTGGTTTTGAAGCAAAGGCTTGCCAACAGTCGACCGACAGTTACCTTCATAGTTGTGACCCGTTTCAATCCACCTAGACTGGTCACCGGATTTTTATTTGAACATCACACTGGTTTATCCCAAGATTTGCAGGGGGTTGTTCATCCTTGCAGGATTTTGTTCATCAGTACCAACTACCCTCCAAAAAAAAAACGGACTACCCTGTTAAAATCAAAGATGGAAGTTGAGGAAAATTGCTTTTCAGAGGCGAAAGCTTGGCAGGGGGTTCTACCAGACCGATGGCCTCCTTTCCCGTCGCCCCCTCTGTCTCCTGGGATGCTGCGTAGAGTCAGGAGCCTCCACTAGGTAGAAGTGGGGCAGGGACCAGACCTGACCGGGTTCTTCATCTATCCCACGGGTATCAACAAAAAAAAAACACCCGCGTTACAGACAGAGTCCGAGGGCATCCATGTTCAACCAAATGGAGGAGTCCTTTCCAATTCTAGTTGACAGCCCCACACGCTGGGTGCCTGTAGGTAACTGCATACAGTATTGTTGTTTGTGAAATTCCTTGGAGCTGATCAAACAAGGACTTGGAGCTCCTCTGGTGATTTTTCTTCGGCATTTAAAAAAAGAACAAAAAAAAAAACGAGAAGACAAGCAGGAACATGGACTCAGATCCCTTCGGGTCCCTCTGGTTACTTGTTTGAGGGGAGCCAAAGGAAAACAACATGAACTTGGAGTTGGACCCTCCTCTGCTTCTTTCGTTGCCTAATCACCACTCTTGAAACATATGGACTCAAACTCCTTTGGGTTGTTTTCGCTAGGACAGGGAAAGCACGGCGTCCCATTCCTAGCAAAGCCCCAAACAAACTGCGAAAACAATTGAACAGGCTGGAAAATGCCAGGCCCTTTGACACGCCCTGTGAAGCAACACGCCCCAGGAAGTCTAGGGACTTTCTAGAAAATCCTCAGCTACAAAGTTCCCGCCTTGTTGGATCCAGCCAACTCAATCATAGAATCACAACCCGCGTTAGGGGAACGACGGAACGAGGTCTGGGCTGTTCCAAAAGGCTTGGCCAATCCCAATCCGTAACTCCCCACGAAACCCCAAGGCAAGGGAACTCCTTAGCGAAAGGAAAGGACTACGGATTGCCTTTGAACAGCTCAGCTCAGCTAATCAATCCTGAAGGCACATTTGGTTGGTTGTGTCTCACAACATCAAATCTGAAATTCCAAAGCCCTAACAAAGGAAGCGTCGTGATGTCACACATCAGCTTTGTAAGGTCTCCACAATCTGCAGGTCAATTGCCAAAGAGGAGCACCCGACAAGGTGAACAATAAAAAAACATGATTGGGACCCAGGTTGCAGTTTGTGCGGGTTTGCGTCTAAATAGGGAGAACCCGTTAAATATTTTGCCTGTTTTGGATCAAAGCTTGACGTCTTCTTGGGAACCGCCCTGGGTTTGTCACGGATAGCCTTGGTGTTGTTTCCAAAAGCCCGTGGAGCCTCAATTTTGAGAAATACCCGTGATGAGTGATGAGTTGGGTGGAAGTGAACCATGAAATCGAACTGGTATTCTCCAGTGGCCATGAGAAAAAACAAAAACAAATTGGCCGACCTTTGGCAATTGATTTGGGTATGGGTAAAAATTAAACTACCAGGTGACTGCAGGTTTGAGTCCTTGTTTCCTTTTACCAGGGTTCCATTTTGGGTACCTAACTTTGACCCGCAGCCGTTTATGGAAAACCCCAACAAGAAAAAACAAAAACATGGCACTGGAGGTCACTTCAACTTCGTCTGGGCACGTAGGGGATCTGGTTGGAGGACGCCGAGAGGTCGAACATGCCCAGCAGCATGTCGCAGTCGGAGCCCCGGTTCAAGACTCCCGAGTCGGACATGGACCTTGGCATTGGCAAAGATGTTACGTATAGGCCAACCCGGCAAAGAAGTCATCTTCCATGGCGGGTCAATAGGGTACCCCCTAAATGGAACCCTGGCAAGTGGAAACATGGACAAAAACCTGTGGTCTTTTGGCGGTTTAATTTTGACCCGTACCCATTGGCTTTCAAAGCCATCTGTGTGAAATGAGCCAAGTCTCCGATTGAAGCCACGAATCATTTGGGAGTCGCCCGGGAGACGGGCCAGGGATGCCTAATCAAGCTAGCATATCCAGCCAACAGGAACAGTTGGCACCTTTGCCATGAAATGGGTGAAACCCACAGCGCATCCATGTGCGAGCTGATTCTTGCTGATAACCATCATTTTATTACCCATCCAAGGAAGGTTCTCAGGACCGTCTTAGAAAGGTTCTTAGGGTTCTTAGCGCACCATTCCGGTGGCTATAACCTTCCCACACAATCCATTTGGGTATATCGGTATATTATACCATGTAGCTCATTTGGAGGATACATGTGGGTACATCTCGCATGGGTTGCTCTTAGGCTTCAGAAGCTTCGATAAGGCTTCGACTTGAAGATCGCCTCGCAGTTGAAGGCGAGCCGGGCCTGCCGCAGGCCCTCCTGGCAAATGCCAATCGCTCCGAGTCGATTTCAGCCGAGGTCAAACCCTCATTGCACCCCAATGCCAAAAGTCCACACTCTCGGTTCTCTTATGCGTTTCCAAAGAATGGGGAACTTCCAAAATGTTTGGTAGCCTGTTGGTTGCTCTTTGAAATTCAACCCAAAGTTGCCAAAGGGGATCCCATATGCCTGCCTTCGGAGCCATTGGGGTTTGGTCCCGATGGATGTTTGGCGGATCGATTCCTTGCCCTGGTGCTTGGTTGCAAGGAAATGCCCTCTGTAGTGGCTTCTGAGTTGAGGCCTTATTGTTTGCATGTACTAGTGTTAACTGTACGGCTTTACGACCAGACTAAACCAGAAGGTTGCTACCATCATCGAACAATTTTTGAAGAAGCCCAGCATGACCCAGGACGATTTGGTCTGGCAACACTTACGCTGCAATTTACTCATTGTCATTGCACCGCGCCGTAATAAGATTACCATCTGTTCCCTGCTCATTTCCCAATATTGACCTGAAAGCCAAGAAAGGTCACATTCCATCGCTCCTCGTTGAGCTCGTAGCGCCTTACGTGGACCACGTCATTGTTCTCCGCAGGCAGCTCGAAATCCTCGATAAAGGAGTACGTCACCGGGCGCATCAAAGTCTTTGAGAAGAACTCCACACTCTCCTGGAGAAGACGGGAAACAAGCAGACTCCCCAACTCAGCTTTGTGCCGCCCCAATCAAGCATATGCCGCTTGGCTTTTGACCACAAGAGCGGTGCCACAACTAAGGGCCTGCAACAAAACCAAACAGACATCACAAAGCAAGACAGACTTGCAAAGAGACCAGACCTCAAAATCACTGATGCAAACACAGCTGCGCTAGGACCATCACTATTCACCCTACCTTCAAGCATCCCATATCGTGCAGATTAATCAGTCTCAAATATAGGGGGCCATCTTTCCAAACTGCTGTCACGCAAGCTTCAGTTTAACACAAGCCACCTTCGAACAACATCTGCCTCAGCCTGATCTTCTCCCAACGCGTCTTGAGTCACACGGGCTAAGGAAGCTTTCCGGGCAACCATCCTTCAAAGTCCCGGGGCTGGCAGGCTGAAACGTGCCGACTGACACGTGCCCACTTGAAGCGGATAGGGTGTTCCCGAACCATCCTTCAAAGTCCCGGGGCTGGCAGGCTGAAACGTGCCGACTGACACGTGCCCACTTGAAGCGGATAGGGTGTTCCCGAGGCGGTGGGTCTCTCACAAAAGACATAATATCCCACATACATACATACATACATACATTACATTACATTACATTACATTACATTACATTACATTACATTACATTACATTACATTACATTACATTACATTACATACATACATACATACATACATACATACATACATACATACATACATACATACATACATACATACATACATACATACATACATACATACATACATACATTACCATACATACATACATACATTACATACATACATACATTACATACATACATACATACATACATACATACATACATACATACATACATACATACATACATACATACATACATACATACATACATACATACATACATTACATACATACATACATACATACATACATACATACATACATACATACATACTTACATACGTTACATTACATACATTACATACATACATTACATTACATACATTACATACATACATACATACATACATACATACATACATACATACATACATACATACATACATACATACATACATACATACATTACATACATACATACATACA